AATAAGTATAGAGAAGGGGAGGACTATTGTGTCATGCCCTGTGGCACCATGCTAGCATTGGGCAGATCAGGGCCCTGTAACTCAAAAACATCATGCATTGTGACCGAGCACAAGCGTCTCAATTCTATAACTCATCCATACTTGACCCATTTAATACATTGTAGGCTCTATGTGATAGCGCTATTCGCAATACACTATGCTTTCGAGTTACGGGGCCCTGTATTCTTCCACAGTAAGTATAGAGAAGGGGAGGGCCAATGTGTCAATTTATTGGGCACAATAAGAACAAGGGGGATTTGTGCTGTGTGCATGCATGTGTGCTAAGACATACTTTTGTGACAGCGTAATGTTAGAAACAATAGATGTGTCTAGTGTGCACTTGTGTATTAGGTGGAGTGAAGAAGAAATATAATTGTACACAAAATAGGTTGTTCGGGCAAAGTTGATTCTTCCTAACACATTTCAATGATCTAAGGAAACGGTGCCAAAGAAGTACCTATCGGTTAGCAACTAGTTTAAAACATGTTTGGCAGATCATTTGAAGTCGGACACTATTTTGTCCAGGTTCATCAAGGAGCAGCTGAAGCCAGTGGTTCACACTGAGGAACAGTTTCTATTCATCTGCCATCTGGTGGGGCCATTTCTACAGAGGTTTTATGCTGAGAGAACCAGGTGTTTGTTAGAGGTAAGAGGAACTGTACTGCCCCACTTTAAATCTTAGTATACAGACTCTTGTGGCCAGAAATGTGGGTTTTTGGTTGTTGATTTTATCAGTTTTTCATAATAAACCTCCCACTGTTGTCAGTATTCTGAAAACAGCAATATTGAGGTTGGCAAAAAATGAGGTCAAAACAATGCAAAATTTTACTTTGTTTAGATATTTGCAGAATCATTATAGTATCAACTGGCGTCATGAAGATACCCAGTTGCATTCAATAACACTTATGGTGCCAAGTATTGTTATAATAGCAGTTTGAACAGTCTCTTGATAACAACAGGCACATACAGAGAATGTCATAACAACATACTTGTTGTTGCCAAATTCATTTAAGTGCATGAGGGAGTTTTGCCAGGATTAAACTATTTTTTTGTGATTTTCACCTTTCACCCTACCATGGCATATGTTGGTCACATTGCTTCAACTGTAAATGTTTGGTGTGCTTAGATACCTCACATTTCTAGGATAAAGCAATCCAGTGTATTATGGTTGGTGCACTTATAAATAAGATTTTGTCTTTATTTCCATTTTAGTTTGTGGTGGACCTGTACGAGATACTAGAGAAAGTGGACAAGGCGTGTGAACACCTATTTCACATGGATTCTATCTCAGATTTCCTGTATCCTTTCATTAAATGCTTTGATACTCTTCTATTACTACTTACTTTGTAACTACTTCTGTGCAAATAGTTCCAGGCCACCATGTTTGTAGCAACTTCTAAGTGGATTTCATCCTTTAAGACGTACTAGGATGATTGTGCATCCCGTAATTCTTAATAGGATTTTGTAGAAGTGCCCTTCACATTCCAAATTTAGCTTTACTGTTGTAGTTAAAAATTATATGTAAAGAAATCAATCTCATATGCTTCCTTGACTTATGTCACCAGTTATCACATCAAGTATATGTTTGTAGGAGATGGAGTGAAGGCCGAAGTGGATAAAATCATATTCAACTTGAGGCCAGCTCTAAAACTGAGGCTACGTTTTATTTCACAGAGAGGCAAGGAAGAAACGCCTCAACCCAGCCAGTAACAGCAGCTTTGATGGGCTCAGCATTATTATAATGATTATTGACCTTTGATCTTACAGGATTATGTGAGGTGGCTATGTACTGTTGATAAGGTTTTTAGAATCATCTTTTGCCAAAGATAATTTGATATTTTTTTGTAAATCAGAGTTCAGATCTGTTGGTTAAAGAACCTTTTTCCAAGTGACAGACTACCAAGTAATCAGCCCAGTCAGGAGAGAGAGAACTTAAAGGGGGGGATGTGATCTCCACAAAAGGTGGCAGTATTTGTGACATGCTTTGAGATGTCGTGTTAATAAATAAGGGATCAAAAAATTGTATTTACAGTTAAGAGTACATACAGCAACTTGCGCAATAAAACAATCATGATGAATATTAAGAGTGGTCTCCAGATGTCCCTGTGCACCCTGAAAATCAAGACGGCAGTGGTCACTTATCTGTGAAAATATGTCTTGCTACACACAATCGTTGTTTTTGTACAGTAAATGTCTATAATTTTTGAAGTACAAAATGTTTATTTACATGGAAATTGAAAATACACATCTTAATCAGAGACCAGCTTGGCACCAGAAATAAAGTGACAATACTAGTTAACAAAATAAAGGTGCCTCCAAATGTTTTTATAACTCCCATTTATATACATGCTGCTGACAAATGAACAAACAAAACGTGTTCTTAAAAGTGAACAAATAATGGTGATGATATATTTGAAAATATTTTAACAATGCAGTTTATCCCAGATAAAGACTTAACGTCTAGAAAACAAACTGATGCACATGCAGCCTGATACCAATATTGGTAATGTATAACAAATACATTGCACTTTCAAAAATATTTTTATGTCAAACCTTTGTTAATGTTCTGTACTATAATACAACCTCAACTGACACCTTGAATTTACCCTAAATTAAGTAAGATACTTTTTTCATATTTGGTCTAAAACCAAAATGCAGGAAAAGACTAACACTCCATTTCAAGGACATTAATTGTCCAAATGTTTCATGTTTTTCCCCTTTACTGGCATAAAGACTACTAAATATTTGTCAAATGTAACAAAAGAGAAATATGCCTTAAAATTTCATCACAAATACTGTTATATCTAACAACATAAACTAGTTGCACATGACTAAGGAGATCAGTATGCAGGATAATTGTCAGTGACTAAAAAAAAAACCTGCAACCTGTTGAAAAAAATGGAAAGTACACGCAACTAAAGAAAATAATAACAATCTGAAAAATGAGAAAAAATCCTCCACCTTTATACTAGGCAATGCTTGTTTACAACATAATTGTACAGGGAAAACAATGTTCAGATATCTACCTCATAACAGAAATTTTGGGAAGGTGAAAAATGTCCCATTTTGAACTCAAGTATTTAACACTCAGGTTACTTCTAATGGATTTCGGATTTCTTTTATTTCCAATTTACATTTCAAAAGTTCTTTGGTCCTATCCAACACTAGATTCAAGCTGAAAAATATATATTTAGCAAAAATATATCTAACTTTGAGCCATCCTATGAATTATTTTGGTGTAGGTTTATTTATTAATTCTACTTTTTTCCTATATTTTAACAAGGGTTGGTACAAAATGGGCTTTAAAACCTAGTCTTCTCATAATTTAGTGGAAAATGTTCATATAATGACAATCCATAACAGGACAAGAAAGTAAACAACAGCTGATGATCTGCCACCCAAATACTGTACAGTTCTTATGGAATAAATCATGGTTTTCCACGATTTTCTCAGCCTTAAAGACTTCATGTAATTAAGGGAAATTAATGATTTTCCCAGCACTCAATTAAGTTTCTTAAAAGATAATCTTCATAGGCAATATATTCTAACGTGACAAAGGCAAAGCCCAATTGTATAAAGCATATTATTTTTTTATCAATCACTTTTTTTAAATAAACTGTCTTAATGAGATATAAAACGATGGTCTTGTGCATGTTAAAAAAAAAACAAAAAACAAATCCATTTCACCCATAGAAAACTTCATGACATTTGTATCATCTTTTCATACAACTTAAAATCTAGTATGTGTGAACCTGGACTTGACAACTAAAGCCTACGAAGTCAAACATTCACCCAGTTTTGGCACCTGGTTAAAATGGTAAAAAGCTTCTTAAAAAATCTACAGCAGATGTTTTTAACTACAAATTGGATAGTGTTTACAGATATGCCACTTTCCTAATCAAACAATAAATGCTAGCAAAATCTGATTAACAATAACTAGCAAATAAATGTCTTAAAATGCAGCTTCATTAAAGTTGACTATAAACTGTGTACAATGCCTGGTTCTGCAGGTGCATCCTCTTCAACTTCTGAAAAAGATTTAAAAATAAAACTAAATCATCTTACTATTCTGCTCTTGAGAACAGACAAACTCAAAGAATCATATTTCATTGCTTTAAAGGCATCACCCCCCTCTTTAAATCCTACAAGAAATCAGATACCAGGAAGCTCTCAAAGATTATATCTGTTAAATCATACATCATTTTCTTACATTTAAGAAGGTTAAGCCAACTTACTACTAGGCAGTTAAATAATTGAAAATACTTTTCTAGCCCTCTACCTTTCTACCGTACATAGAATATATACGGTATGGAAAAAAATATGCAATCAATCCAAATAAATCAATTCATACTTGATAGTTCCCGATTCTTCTCTAGAACTTGCATAGCTGGCTCTTCGACCTGACATATGTTTGATTGTGTGCTGGTGAATGGAGGTATAAAAATATGTGCATCTTTCAGCTCTGCGGCTTCAAAGTGCCCTGAGGCGTGCAGTTCTGCCTGAGAATCACTATGACTAGAGTGGTGGTGGTGATGGCTAGGGCTATGGAATGTAGGCAATAGAGAACACTCCAAACTGTCCACAGCACAATGGGGTAAAGACCACAGCCTCTTGCTGGCAGTGGGTGCAACAGGAATGGTTCCTGTTGACAGCGACTGAGGGTCAGAGTTTGAGAATTGCTGGTGTGTAATGGAGACAGTGTCCATAAGGGCACTGAGGACAGAGATCTTTGGACGAGATGTCAATGTGTCCAGAGACAAAGCCCTGGTGCCATTCGACGTCTTTGACAGTTTTTGAGACAACTGGTCCCAGGAGGTCGACTGGTACACCGTTTTGGGTAAACTGCCTCTCCTATTCAGAGAGGTACATATGGGATAGCTCTCCCTCCTCATTTGAAGTTTAAAGACGTCTCTTCGAGGTAAAGCTGGTGGCATACTATGCCGCCTAGCACCAAGGAGAGACTGAATCTCCGCTGGCATTAATAACATAGGGAGCTCATCATCATCATCATCATCAGCCTCATCACCATATTTGCTATCTGTATCTCCCTCAGCATCTATGGCATCAAATGTGAATGAAATGTTGTCCACAGGGGACTGAGCTGGGCTAGGATCACTGGATTTGGATACTGTACCCTCCTCTAAGTCAGCCTCAGGTTCATGCATAGTCTCTAACCAGTAACTCCTGTTTAAGTTAATGTTATTTAGTAACTGTTTACTGAGATTAGAGGGTATAAACTGCTGCCATTCACTGAATAAGGGTCCCACAACAAAGTCCATAAACCCTAAATAAAAGAGATGGAGCATTATGGATTTGTTATTGTGAAAATTCTTACTTCTGAATTGTCTATGAAACAGAGTTTAATTTAAAATCTTTGGATTGTCCAATTCATTCATTGAAAACACTGTATCCAAGATGAAATGTTATATAATATGTCATACGATGGTATTCAATCACTTAAGTCCTTTTCATTTGAAAAAAAAAAAACATGTTGGTTTTTATGTTGTAATGGTATTATCAGATACCTATTTGTATTTTGGCCACTGTGGTTGAGTTTCTATCACAGACTGGTGTCACAGGAAGCTGAAGGTCCCTCTCACAATCACCTAAAACATAAGGGCAAAGACATGGGGGGAGGGGTTATAGCTGACTAGCTGACTGTTAAAGATTTATTTCATCCACTTTGATTTTTATGAATAAATTGCCACAAAGTAATATACTGATCCTGTTAAATGGATCAATTTTGACAAAATATTGGATTATTACAATTTTGACAAAACATAGTTACTTCCAAAGTCTCCTGATAACAGTTTTAATTGCATGAGGTAGTCCACTTATTAAAAGCACTAAACTGAGAAGGTATGCAGCCATCAGATACAAGAATCTGCTTTCACTAAAGCCAAATTCAAGTTTCCTGCCTTACCCTGTTTGAAGAACTCTTCACACACACTCTGACTCCACTTCCGGCTGATGTCGAGAGGGCGACATGGGTTACTGATGTCAGCACATTTTAATGCTATCTGAAGAATACAAAGAAAAATAATACCACATGTACCAAAGCTCAATGCCTATCACACAAACAAAAATTTTATCCACATTTACATCCACATTAACATTTGTATCTTGAAATATACTGTTTTACTGGAGGCAAGGTTGGGTTGATATGCAATAAAAGAGCTATGTTCTGCCTCCACAAAATTCAATCATCAGAATCAGAAATTATCAATTTCTAAATTTTTAATTTAGGACAAAAATTCCACTCTTACAGACCAACAGAGAAGTACACGTTGACAGATTCACAAGAAAATTAAAATATATACTACAACTCACTTGCATAACAAAATGCCTGTGTTCCTCCTTGTCAAGTTGTAAATCACCGTGGTCATTATGTTTCTGCAATTAAAATAGGCTTGATAACTCCTTTAAAAACACAAGCATAATACATAAAACAATCTATTATTAACAATAACTTAATAAACAGCAGACATCCCCAAGGATATCAAACTTTTATCTCATAGCAAATAATTTCTGTGACAGTCTCCACTGATTGAAAGAATGAACATTCACTGCTGATATCAAATGTAATAGTCGAATTCCATTTCAAACTGTCCAAATAACATTGAACAGTGGTCAAATCTGACATAATCTGAAACAAACTAGCTTTCAAAATTACAAAATATATGAGATTGATTCATTCTACGTCATTAAAATAGCAATTTCATCTCCTACAGATCTATTCATGACTCCAAGCTGACCTTGAACTTGCTGAGGAACTCCTGCTGGCGCGTGATATCAGTGGCAAGGATCAGGGACTTAAGTTGCCGCACACAAAAATGCCTTGAATCAAAAGCATTATCTCAACTAAATGATTCTTATTAAAATACAATCCAATAAAAAGCTTTGGGAATATACTTTTTTGAAACTGTGCTGTAGTCGTTTTATATCATCATACATAAATCCTGAGGGACAAGATTCTTTTGTCTAAGATTAGATCTGGGCAAAGTTTCACTTTTTACAAAAAACTTTAACACCTCTTTACTACTGAGATTGTCAACATTAAATTGAATGTCATTTAAAACCATTCATATGCAACTTGCATAACTCTTCAAACATAGGTCAGTTATGAATCTCCTCTATGAAGACTTGTTGTTCTGTCTTTGACTAATGTGGATAAGTGTCTTCTTACCACTGCCTTGCATTGAGATGACTGAGCATTCCAGACTCATGGAGTATCCCAACTGTTGTTCTCCAGTGATGATTTTCTAAAACTGATGTGTTCTGATGAAAGGAAAGACAACATTCATAGTTACACATGACTGATACATTCATAATAGAATTGAAAGTACACAAAAAAAAGTCGAATAGATAAAAGTTTTGATTTTACTTTTGAAAAGATCTGCCTCCATTCAACATTACCCTCCTCCTGTTTTTATATCAACCTCTGATCATTTATATTTGAGAAAAAAATTAAATCATAGCATGCACACATAAAACAAGGCAATTCTGGAGAAGCTGCTGGAAAAAGACTACATGTTTAAATTTTATACTGGAATGTCACCAATTTACTCATTATATTCATTCCTGATTAAAATGACTGAATCCTACCTGATATAATGAAGCTAAATGATTGGAAGTTGCTATGAGGAATGACTGGTTCACTCCAGGATGGTCCACATCATGGCACATTGCTGCCAGCAACCCCGCCAGAATCTCAAGTTGACTGTAACAATAGGCTATCTGAAAGCATGCACAACTGACATTAAATCTATCCCATAATGTTAGACTCTTGAAAATCACTTATTGGATTATTATTTAAAACGTAGCACCCAGCAGGCTTCTTTTGCCTTTACCGTAAAAGCAACAAGGGGCATTTACCTTCCAAAACAATTAGTTTGCATAAATTACCAAATTTTAATAAATATTTGAAAGCTTGGCTTGTACTGAAACATTTGCATAAAGAATCATAAACTGCAGGTATAAACCCATTAATTTTACAAATATTCAAACAAGTTGAATTAAACTGGGGGATTCAATTACACTGAAAATTTATACAAAGTTGTGAACACTGTCTAAAGGATGCTGGTCGATATTTTTTTCCTATTCAACATTAATATTCAGCTACCTTTTGTTCTACTAAGAAGCAGTTCATAGCTTGAGTGACGTCTGCTGCATGGACAGCATTGTGGTACGGGTTACTACTGTGATAACCATCTTCAATTAGAGCTGCAAAAAGAAATACAAGAAATAGAACTACGTCAGCAAAATTGACCTAGCCCACATCACTGCTGATAATACTGCAATATGAATGGTTAAGAAAGAAAAGGCTATCTTGCAGCATATTTGATTTACCTTACATTTCTAAGAAATGAATACCCTATGAAGGCATTCAAAAACATTAATCAGTATTTTCATGCAAACCTCCCTTTTTTTTGGGTAAACAAAACTGTGAAAACAAGATGTTTTGATAACATCATCCTTGTACANAAATTATCGTTCACTTCTTTGAATTGAACATTCTCAATCATATTCATTAAGTCATTTTCGAAACCTATCATATCAGCTATTTGCGGTGGTGATCTCTTACTTTTAAGTCCGTAATGTTGTCTTGATGGTTCATCATTTTCGCCCATGCGCTGCTGTCTGTCATCGTCGTCACTGCTCTCTTCATCCTTACGAAGAAAATAAAAGGCCTTCCAGCGCATTCGTCGTATTAGGTGTTCCGTCATTTCCATGAGTCTTTTAAGATATTCCTTTTTAGATGGTAAAGGTATGTTTTTTGTCGAATATCCTAGGTTGAAATACCTCATTTTCATTGTAGAATCAACATGTCTTCAGATAAAAGTCCACTTTTAGAGCGCTCAACAATTTCAGGAGCGTAATATAACAAGCGTGAATGTGGAACAGAGTGCTCAACAGTACGGAGCATTTGTACACAATTAAAATAAATAAATAAATAAGTAAATAAACAAAAGACATGCAATAACCCCGACTCCGAGTTTCACGGGCATACCCAGAAGGTATGCCCGATCGTCAGGAGGTTTATTTGAAAATGGTTATATTAGCCGTTTTACATACACAGCGTGACGACACTTACGTCGCACGCCGTGTTAGTTACGTCACTTTATGCCGACACATGGTGATTATCTCAGTTCTTTTATTCAGAGTATCTGGTGTTATCATTATCAACAGTTTCTCGTCTAAGCAAAGATTGCATAGGTGCTGATTTCTCCTTTGCGGCGTTGATTTCTTTATGATGTAAAATAAAACCCAGTATGACATTAGATGGGACATCATAAAGAAATCAACGCCGCAAAGGAGAAATCAGCACCTATGCAATCTTTGCTTAGACAAAATAAAATAAAACCCAGTATGACATTGGATGGGACATCATAAAGAAACTCGGAGTCGGGGGTTATTGCATGTCTTTTGTTTATTTATTTATTTATTAATTTTAATTGTGTACATAAAGAAATCAACGCCGCAAAGGAGAAATCAGCACCTATGCAATCTTTGCATTGCATTTTCAAATAAACCTCCTGACTATCGGGCATACCTTCTGGGTATGCCCGTGAAACTCGGAGTCGGGGTTATTGCATGTCTTTTGTTTATTTATTTATTTATTAATTTTAATTGTATATATATAGGCTAGGGCCTCGCTCAACACAAACTTTTTCATGAAACCCACAGTAATTACATGCACATGAGTTAATAACTGAGAATAAGTCTGATTTTTTTCTCCTTTTATACTTACTGTCCTAACTGAACTAGGAGACCCTCAAAGACCTAAACTCTTTTTTTTCTTCATTAATTTTTACACATATGGGTATGAAACTATGTGTGTGACATTTTACTAAAATATCATAATTGTTAGTATATGCCAATGTATTCACTTTCATTGATAAAACAATTCAATCAATTTTTTCTAATTCTTTCATTTGCTCTTTTTTTTGTATCTTGCTTTGTCTATCTATCCATTACAAAAACATTATTTCAAAACAAACAAGGCCCCACAGGTTCCAAAAACATTCACTTGGTGAGAAAATGTCAAATGTCTAATACTTCTTTTCAGTGGGTAATAATTTGATCTACTTGCATAAAAATTTTCTATTGGCCCCATTATTAAACTCAAATGATAAAATTACATAACATATAGTAAAATACTTGTAATAGCAACACAAAATTAGACAGCATCTCACAGTTCTTTTTAAGTGCTGCTTCCATGTATACACACCCCAGCTATTCTCAAAGAGCACTAGCACTTCCATTTAAAACACCTTGTAATCTATTACAACACATGATGAACCCATATCAAATTGCTGTTCTCATTCAACTGTCTATTAACAGTGAACAACTGCTCCATTAGTGCACTTCAGTAGCATCACTCTAATTTCATTAATGGTCCCAAACAACAAGCAAAACTTGGAAAACTGATGATAAAACCCTAGGGAAAATGTACATGGGTAGGATCAAACAAATAAAGCCGAGAGAAAACAAAGCAAAATATGTTTACTGCCGTGAGGCAGAGATTATTCCTAGCAACTGTTTAATAATGTGACTATGTAATATTAAAAAATTCATTTTCAAGGGAAATTGTCAACTCCTATAATAAGTCTTTTGAGATGGCTAGATATTTTGGTTTCATAATTTTTTACTCCTGGGGGCAACTGTCAGTATAATTTCAACAGCACTATAAATAAGACTGCAATATGGTGCCTCAATTTTTTTCTGAAATAGATACCCAAAAGCTAAAATTATGATTAACTTCTATGGCCTTCTGTCTTTTGGAACTCAAACAACTGGTGGCTATCTTCTAATTTGAAAAGCCACTCACTATATAGACTGGGACTTAATAACTACAGATATGAACACTTTATCCCACATACATGTCTACTACTTTGGAAAAACAGAGTATAAAAATGATGGATTGAGCTTGAAAATGGTGTTTGTTAGTATGCATGCATGTGTAACATATTTATATGTTGCACTGGCAGCCATTTTGAATTTCTCAAAAAGTTAAAGATTAGGGGACAAAATTACATATTTCAGTATATCCCATGACCACATCACATGCAGGTATATTTGACACTATCATCATGTTTAAATACAAATGGAAGCAGGGAGGTGCTGGTTTTTGATTTCTCATAAAAGTATAGGCAGTCGTTTTTTTTTTATTTTTGCTCATGAAATATCATTAAAAGGGACTCTCCTACCAAAATCTATATTTTTACGACAGGTTCAGCTAAAACCACAATCTGCCTGACTAAAAAATTACGTAAGTAAGAAGCTGGTGGTTTTGTAAAATAATTCTGCAGAAATCATATTAAACTGAAGGAAGCCTCTGAGACTTTTTCAAACCACAAATTAGTTCACAATTTGAAACAGGTTGTCAGTCAATGGAAGCTTCATGCTACAGATCTAATGTACTCTGTTTCTATTACTTACCACAATAGCACTAATATTGTGAGTATGAAAGAACTAAATTCCTTCTATTGTCTCATTAATAAATGGGCAAAAATTTCAGAACCAAACTACTTGGCTACAAAAGACAAATTGTTCGATCACTCTCATCTTTACAAAATTAAGAGTTGTATGATAAACTGAATCATCTTTAAATCTCCAAATCCTACAGAACTTAAAGAAAAATACTCAATCTCATTTCATAGTACCAAAGATCAAAACTAAAACATTTCTGCAACATTTTTATTCCTTTTTCTTTATCTTGTTTTCAGAGGACTGTGTTTATTTGATCTTAGTGTACAGATCTGCTTTTTTAAAAATTTCTTTACACTAATATATTTGTATAACTTCAATCGTTTGGTTATTTAGGTGTTTTTTATGAATGTATTATTATTATTATTATTATTATTATTATTATTATTATTATTATTATTATTATTATTAATATTATTATTATTATTATATCCTTCAAAATTTTACATACAATGACATGTCTTATCAGGAGAAAAACTGGGACAAAAATTCACGTAAAGCCTATAACTATAACATGTACTTCAATAAATCATTATCAATAAAACACTATCTAGAAAACCAAAAATACCCACCACTGGTAAGGCTGTCGAGACTAAAGATGTTGAAATTCCAGTCAGTTATCCTATGTAACAGGCACTGAAAAATTAACAGGGAAAATATTAAAAGGAAGATAGAAATATAAACAGGAGTAAAACATTGCACAATACCCAAAAGCTGTCTATCATTCGTAATACATGCATTATGTTCTGAATAAAGGTTGTAAAATATAGATTAATTTCTTAGAATTTCCTGTAATTTGCTAACATTTCTAAAAGATTTGTTCACAATCTTAGCTTGTTTTAACAAAAAAAAAACTTTTACTGAATGAGATCACACCACAAGTTCCTGCTGTCAAACCCACAACCCACAACCAACAGCCAAGAAGCCACAGCAATTTTTTTCAGAGTGAAGGTAAAAAAGAAGTAGATGATAAAACTCGATTGACAGTAAAACAATGTTGTTCCATATACACTTCATGACAATGCTGTGTGTGAATTTTCCAACTAAATGGCCTTCTTGAGTTACCCAGTTCAAATATTATTTTTTTAGTGGCACAATGTGTGTGCTTTAGTTCCCCTTATAAAGCAAACACTTCATTTCTCTTGCAAGATCGTCACTTTTCCCTGAGACATCAAAGTCTACCAAATCTAAAAGCACTGACAAAATTACAGTCTACAGACTTATTTTAGGATTCTAAGTTTCTAATCTATGAACCACTCTAGTAGCAGAGAGGGGGACTGGTAAATTGTATTGGTAAAAGTAAAAAAAATAGAAATTTAGATCCCGAAAATTGGCTCACAGATCAACATTTTTTATCAACACTTTTGGACAGAGTATGTTTTGGTAATAAAGGAATACTGTTAAGTGTAGCAAAACCACACAACAGGCAGGAGAGTGAAGAACGAAAGCCACTGGAAAATGAAAGGAATCAAGCAGACCAGATGGATTAGGAAGAGCCTAAGTAACATCAATAGAGCCAAGGGCAGACACGCTGTAAATGACTTTAAGATGACCCCCCCAATGTGACACTACTAGGAACATTAACAACAGTTCTTGACCCCTGGTGACACAAACAACACCTGGTGACATCAGTGTGGACTGAACATGATGTCATACTGACATAGAAGCACACCTGTGAGTTCTATTAAATATTAGTTTCAGACAAAAGAACATTTCAGACCTACATTTGTATTCATCCTGTCAAACCTAAAAAGTACTGTTTCAGAATGCTGATAAGTGATACTAACACCTTAAAAATAACCTGTTATCAAATCACATGAATTTTACTTCTTTTTTTTTATTATGAGAAATCCATACAGCATACGTCAGGGACATTTTGGCTTGACAGGGTTTAATTCTGCTGATGTAAGCCAGCATTTATAGAAAAGCTTTCCTTTGCATAACACATTGATATTGACACATTGAGCATTCTCACATCACTGTACAGGGAATTGTATTAACTACAGGGGCTTGCACAGCATGTATGTGTGCGTCATACACATTATCTATATTCAATAAACCCAGTAACACAACTACTTTCAGCTACCTCTCCACAAAGGTCTTTCACAGCAGTTAATTGTATCCTAGTTGAATGTGGAAATAGAGGACATGCTTCTTCTAATAATTCATAATTTTACTTCATTAATGATGATAAAATTATCATAACCTTGGATGGGATTCATAAAAGGTTGTTTGA